AGTATGAAGAATTTCTGCAGCAGCTGTGCTGTTATCCTGGTATTTTCCAAGGTGTGACCTGATGAAGCTGTGCCTTTTCTGTGTTCACTGTGTGACTGCCACCAAGCTAGCATGAAGACATACCCAGGCTGTGTACAATCCCAGACTGGTTTTTTAATGTGTAATCTTGCTCCTGACTGCCTAGCAAAGCCACCCATGGTACTAAACCATGTTAGAATTGGAAATGGAAGGGGGCAACTTTAAAGTTAATGGCTGGCCTAATAAAATCAAGATTTTTTTTTTTTTTTGTACTTCATGAAAACCATTGGTAACAATAAATTGCTTCCAGAATGATGCTGAATGGTAATGTATTCAAGCAGCAGCCAAAAGACCCTACTCATGGATGAATGCTGGGCTTAATACCATGCTGGCTGTTGGTACCCATTGAATCTCCTGTAATCAGCATTTAACAGCTGGTGATCATATGGCTCTGGTGCAACCAAGCAAGGACAAAATGGTTTCTGAAAGCATTAGCCAAAAGATTGTCCTTCCTTTTGGAGCAATCCAGAGGGAACTCTTGAGAGGGGAGGGTGAAGTCTGTAGTTACGTGCAGATCTCAAGGGGTTTTGTGTCACTTTGCTGTCTCTCAGCTAAGGGTTGTGCCCTCAAGAGTCACTAAAGAGATGTCTGAACTTCTAGTTCATACACAAAACAGATGTCATGGGGAATTTTGTGAAGGATTTTTATTCTGGAAGAAAGATGCTGCTGTCCGAGCATAGGACTGCATCGATCCAGCCAAGTACCTCTGGCATAGGCAGAATGCAGTTTCCTTGCAGAAGATAAGAAAACTTCCAGCAAAATAAATCTCTTGAGGGATGTCTTGGTGCCAAGAAAAGCTGGTGTTTACAGGGATCCTCTTTGGATCTGGACCAAGCTGTTGCAGAGAGGAGTCCTACAGAAAGCTGGCATGCTGGGGTCAGGCTCTGGCTTTCTGTGTCATGGAGCTGGGAGCACGGGAATCAAGGAGCTCAAAGAGGGATTTGCCTCCTACTTTTGTAGCAGAGAGCCTAACTTGAGCTTTGGGGTTTCTGAGCTCCCTGTTGCAGATCTAGGATTTGAATCCTCAAAATGCTGGGAAATTTATGCAGAGGGCTGGCTCTGGAGTCACAGACATGGTGTGAGGCATGTCTGCCTCAGGTTCAGGCAGCTCATGGAAGCTCACCCAGAGGCATGGAAGAGGAGGGATGAGTAGCATCAGGGGGATTATTTCAAAGAGAAGATCCTCTGTGTCTGAGTTTTTCTGGATGATAATTCCTCTAATTTTACAGTTCAGAGCACTACGAATTGTTTGCCCAATTCAGAGTGCAGCCACGTTTTAAGAAGCTGTTCATTTCCTGCAGGTTGGAACTCCTGCTCTCTCATGAGTATCTTCTTGGGTTGTTTTTCCTTTTTCTCTGCCAGCTTCACACCTGTAGCTGAGATGCCAGCGTAAACAAAGCTAAAGGAAACAAGGCAGCATGTCAGTTCAAACCTCAACTTCAAACACTCTCTTCCTTTACCAAGTGTCATATCTGTCAGGGGCAATTACTATTAGCAGTGTTGTTATGGACCCAAATCTGAGTTGGGGAGGGGGGAAAGGATGCAGACAGAAGAGCTCAGGATTAGCCCCACACTTCTGGGGTACAATGGCATTTCCTTTGCTAAAACAAAGGGAGTTCTTCCCTCTTCATGCTTGCACTTCCCTTTTAATACAAAACATCCTTTGCATGCACATAGACATTTGAAAGGAGTTATGTTTAGGCCCATGGTTGCTGAATTTGGCTGCAGCAGTTTGACTACTGCTGTGGGAGAGGAACGCTGTACCAATAGCGTTTAATTGTCTCTTGTGTTTGCTTCTCGTTTGCTTGGGTTTTGTTTTCAATGGCATTTACTCTTAAGGAATCCTGTTCACTTTTTACCATTTAGAAGACGAATGCGGTTTCTAGTTTATTAACAGCCAAGCTGCACTCAGGTATTCAATCCCTTATTTGTGGGAGTTGTTCTGCCACGTGGCTTCCTGCAGAAGAGCCAGGTGTGACAGCCCATTCGCGAGTCAGCAACAGCTCTGTCTCTGTGGTTGCTGGTGCTTTGAGGAGGACTGGAGCAGAAAGAGGGCATGAGGATGCAGGGGACACTTGGAGCATAGTTTCTGTAGACCCAGTCATCAGGTTGGTGATGAAGAACTTGGGGCTTGTAATCTGGTTCTACTCTGAAAAGTAGGCTTGTGCTGTTGGCATTTGGCTCTTCAACAGATCTGCTGTGCCTATCAGTGACCAAACCAGCTGTTGTTCTGTTAGAGCCACAAGGCCTTTATGGGGAAATATGTGCTGCTGCCTTCAGCATCGAGGGGAGAACCACCTATGAATTCTGCCTGCAGTCTTGCATGTGGGACTGGAGCGTCCACAGCAGCTTTGCTGGCAGCAGGGTTTAGTGGGGGAAAGGCAATGAAAGGTGGTGATAAAAACAGGTACAGCATGAGACATGCCTGGAGAAATACTACAAACCATATTATACTTCTAAAGCCAGATTTTCGTCTCATTTTGGGGAGAGCTTTCTGTCAGATAGAGATTAATCCCCAGATTGCAGCACTCACCAGAGGCAAGCAAGGCAGGTAGGATTAATTTTGGTAAAGAGTCTAAGAGATGGAGGGAGAGGGAGGGTGTTTGGGAGGCAACAGCGAGAAGTTTCACACCAGTTCTCACCAGGGAAGCAGGAAGGAAGTGGAAAGTGGCAGGAGACAAAGGACAGCCTGAAGGTTAGGGAAGAAATAAAGAGGGATTGTGAGAAACGACACAAGCAAAAGGGCTAATGATGGATTTATGTAAGGCAGGAAGGCTATAATGGGGAGCAAAACTACAGCTTCACTTTGTCAAAGGTTGCGTGGGGGCCAGAATTTTCCAAAGGCTGTCCAGGGGAGAGTGGGGCTGGGCTGGGCACAGAGAGGGTTTGGGCTGGGCTGTGGCTGTGTGCAGACTGCTGCCCCGTTGTGCATAGCCGCCTTCAGCGATTCAACAAACTTGTGCTTTAATGCAGTGTTGGCCTGAAATCCGTTAGCAGTGCATCAATGCGCTGGCTACAGGCAGAGGGAGAGCGAAGAGCCACTGTTGCTTGAGCAGATAACATACCTGGTGTGGGCTGGTTTAAAAGAGTACTTTGAAGTTGAATCATGAGCATTTCTTTCAAGGAAATTGCCAAATGCCTTTATTACAACGGCTGCTGGCATTGTGTCCGCTGTGGTGTGCTAATGGGCACCAAAGGTGCTTTGACAACTTGGTGTCGACTTCGTGTCTGTGATTGTGAAAACACTGATTCAGAATTTTGTCTCTGTTGATGCTCTCTGCGAGGGAGCAACATCCCAGCCCTGAGCTGCTCAGGAACATTTGAGGACTGTGTCTTGGGAATTTTTGTAAGGACATGTAGGGCTAGGACAAGAGGGAATGGCTTTAAGCTGACAGAGAGAGATTGAGAAGAGGTATTAGGAAGAAGCTCTTCCCTGTGAGGATGCTGAGGTGCTGGCAAAGGGTGCCCAGAGAAGCTGTGGCTGCCCCATCCCTCGCAGTGTTCAAGGCCAGATTTGACAGGGCTTGGAGCAACCTGGTCTAGTGGAAGGTGTCCCTGGCTGTGGCAGGGGGTTGGAACAAGATGATCTTTAAGGTTCCTTCCAACCCAAACCAGTCTAGGATCCTGCGAAACATAAGTTTCCACTGATGTTTGTTTTGTTTTGTTTTTTTTGCCTCTCAATCCCAGGCCCAAAAATATCCACAAGCCCTTCTATCCTGCTCCACACAGCTGCACGCTGTGTTCTTTCTGTGCTTGTAATTACAGGGTGAAAGAGGCAGCAGAGCCCTGAGTGATGCTCTGCCCTCACAGAGCACTTTGGGCCGGGACCCCTGAGCCTTGAGAGGTCAGCAGCTTCTGCAGCCTGTGCTGGCTGTGTGCTCTGTGCTGTGGGCAGTGCCGCTGTTCCCTCTGCACGCTGTGTTTGTAGCGCTCACCAGTCACCAAAGGGCGAGGCTCCAGAGGTGTCTGTGTGCCTCTGGTTTTGATGTGGCTTCCCCAGTGCTGCTTGGCAGAAGGGACCTGGGGATGCTGATTGACAGCTGCTATGACCCAGCTTGTGCCCAGGCAGCCAAGAAGGCCAATGGCATCCTGGCCTGTATCAGCACTAGTGTGGTCAGCAGGGCCAGGGCAGTGAACATCCCCTGTACTTGGCACTGGTGAGGCTGCACCTCAAATCCTGTGTTCAGTTCTGGGCCCCTCACTACAAGAGAGACATTGAGGTTCTGGAGTAGATTCGGAGAAGGACAACAAAGCTGGTGAAGGGCATGGAGCACAAGGCTTGTGAGGAATGGCTGAAGGAACTGGCTGAAGAGAAGGCTCAGGGGGGACCTTATTGATCTCCAGGACTGCCTGACAGGAGGTTGTAGTGAAGTGGGGATCTGTTTCTTCTCCCAGGTAACAAGTGATAGCACAAGAGGAAAGGGCCTCAAGCTGCACCAGGGGAGGTTTGCTTGGATATTGGGAACAATTCCCCAGAGGGTGCTCAGGCATCGGAACAGGCTGCCCAGGGTAGTGCTGGTGTCACCGTCCCTGGAGGTGCTCCCACACCGTGCAGACGAGCCCCTCAGCGCCGTGGCTTAGTGGCGGCCTTGGCAGTGCTGGGGCCGGTTGGACGCGGCGCCGCCGAAGCTCTTCCCACCGCGGCCGGCACCGCGACCCCGTGAGCTCCGCCAGCCCCGCGTGTGTGTGAGGGAGCGCCCGCCCGCGGCAGGTGGCCCCGACCCCGCCGCCGCGCACGTCACTTCCTCGGAAACTTTTTCAGCCGAGGAGCCGCAGCGGGGCCGGAGTTGCCGGTGCGGGCGCGGGGCTGCCCGCGGAGCGGCGGGGCTGTGCTGTGCTGTGCTGTGCTGTGCTGTGCTGTGCTGCCGGCGGGGCTGTGCTGTGCTGTGCTGCGCTGCCGGCGGGGCTGTGCTGCCGGCCCGGCATGCCCGCCCTCCCGCGCTGCCCGGGGCACGGCCGGGCCGCCCAGCGCCGCCCGCGGGACCGTTAGCTCGGGGGGCGGCGGGGACGGCTCGAGCCATGGCCCGCGACTGCGCCGCCCGCAGCCTGGACGGCATCGACCTGGCGGCGCTGCGGGTAAGGACGGGAGGGGTGGGTGTGTGTGTGTGGGGAGGGGGAGCAGCCCCCGCTTGTCGGGTCCGCGAGGCGAGCGGAGGCTTCTCCCGTGCCCGGGGGGATGCCGCTGTGCCGCGCGGAGCGGGCTGTGGGCGAAGAGGCTCTGGGCTCCGGGAGCGGGGCTCCGCCGGCAGCTCCGAGCGCTCCCGGCCCGGGTGCGGGTCGCGTTCCCGTCCCACGGGAGGGCTGCGCTGCCCCACTGGGAGCGCTCCACCAGAGAGTGTCCTTCTGCCAGGTGATGCAGGGTGATGCGAATGATGTGGAGCTATGGAGGGAAAGCAAATGAGAGATGAGGGCTTTCTGGGAGAAAATATGTGTCTGGGGAATTGGCTTTTATGTTGTTGGGTTGGGGTTTTTGTTGTGGTTTGTGCTATTATTTTTTAGGTTTTTTTGCCCAGACCTGAAAAAGTCAGCATTCACCTAGTTTGCTATGAATTTTCGACATCATGCTTTTCTGTTCGTAGGTTTCAAACACAATCCCAACTTTTGCCACCTTAAAAGCCACCCGATTAGTGTTTCCCATCCACAAGCCATTAACAGGGTTGTGTGTAATAACCCTTTTATGCCGCATCAACCCAGGCAGTTTTTATTCTTTGCACCTTCCACAGAAGAAGAGAGAAGAGTCCAATTGTGGCAAAAAACACAAAACTGTGTCTGTGTCAGCCCCAGACAGTGAAACCAGAGCAAGCTGCCTTCTAAAAATATCAGGGTAAAAAAAGAAGAAAGGAGGGCTGGGAGAAGCCTTTGCAATAGTCACAAGGCAAGGAGAGTTCCAGACCAGAGGCAGAAAGATAAAAGGCAGCAGAGACAGTAAAGTCTGCGAAGATGGCACAAGGTTTCTGGCTAGGCAAGCAAAAGTTTAACCTGGCTCTGCTTGAGGTAGCAAGGCTGAATAATGGAAGTCCTTTAGATCTTGAGCAGATACATCTGATATCCTTAAATGAGTGGTAAGAAACCAATATAAGTTTGCAAAAGAGTGGTGCTGCAAACCAGAGAACAGGCTTTGTGTCTAAGCCATCCAATGCAGAAACCTCCCAGAGGCTGTAACCACTGCAAGTTCCAGCCTTGGCAGGGGAAGAGACACTTGTGCCCCTTTCAGAGAAAGCCCTTTCAGAACATTGCAGCCTTCATTTGGGATTTGTGGGAAATGGGAGGTGGTTGGGGCTGGGCTGTAGAAATTACGTAAAGATGGTGCTATCACTTCGGCCTTGTCTTTGGTGTTCTGGGGTCCAGTGGGAGCTGCCTGGTGCTATGCTCCTGCCAGTCTTGCTGCAGTCAGGAGGTCCAGCAGGGATGCACCACTGGGATAGGAGGCTCTTCCAAACTGCACAGGCTGGCCTTGCTCCTCTTTAAATGAGTGCTGGCCATGGCTTTCCTGCTTTCCTGGAGAAAGATGTTGGGGCTGTAGTTTCCAAATAGCATCTTGATGGGGTGCTTCTGGCTTGGGTTCATGAGGGCAGTCAGGTGGCTAAAAAGCCTCTGATCTCTGCGTTACGTGCTGAGGTACAGGAGCCCTTTAGAAGAACTTGTGCTTCAGACACCTGAACCTTGTTTAGCTGAAAAGGGCATTTTGATGAGGCTCTTGCTGCGTGTGCTGTTCATTCTGCCTTGCAGAGAAGATGGATGTGGCCTGGGTGCCTCTGGGTCAGCAGTCTTTCTCTTGTCTTTTGAGTGCTCTGTAGGTGACTTGCAGGAAAGCAAGAAGGGTACCATATGGTATAGTGCATTAGAGTAATTAACCTCAAAGTGATTAATGTTCAGGCCAGGATTTTGGCGTCTGGCAAAGAGAACCTAGCAATTTGGCGGGTGCTGGCTGGTGAAGGGTTAGATGGACCATGAGGCTTAAATGGTAGCTGAGGGGAAGCACTGCATCAAAGATGATACCAAGCTCAAAGATAATGAAGAAGTTGGCCTGTTGTGAAGAATGCCACTGAACAGTGCTGATATCCAAGCCAACAAGGGCAATCCAAGGACCAAAGTCAGAGCCCAAATTAGAAGAGAGATGGCCAAGGATTTTGGCTGCACTCTGAGCTGTGGAGGCTTGAGACTCTAATGCTCAATTATCTAGCAAGGACAGGGTAGGATTTTTGCTGTATTAAAGCTAATGCTAACATTTATTTAGGTAATTGCTTGGGATTTTCCTGGAGTGTCTGAAACCTTTAGAAACGAGCTGTTTGGGTGCTAAGTCAGAATGGAGTTGATTGGAGGGAGAGGCTGATTTTGAGGCATATTAAGTTACTATATTGCATAATAAATAAGCTTGGAGAAGAAGAGTGAGGACAGCACACATTTGAGTGAGAGCGACAGTTGCCAACTCCAAGCTGAAAATGCAGTTTAGGTTTCTCTAGGTTTCCATAGAGGTGTGCTATTAACACCTCTTAATTGAGCAGGGCTACTTTCTGCAGGAGAGGTGTGGAATTGGGGTGCTGCTCGTGCTTTCCTCAGAGGAATAGAGCAGGTATTGTGCATGGAGGGCTTTGTCTGGAATTGTTCCTTGGAGAACTGCTGTGTGTTTTACTCCACGGACCACATGCAACCCACAGGACTGCTCTATGGGAAGGTCACGTGTGAATCCTTTAGCAGCAGAAGTGGATTATTGCTGACTTTAGGTCTGGTGAAGCAAGGTGTGTGGCTTGGTTATATCCAAGACTAGTGGAAATGCAGGAATGAGAGGGAAAGAAAGCACTTTGCAAAGGCTCTGGTGTTGCAAGCATTCTTATGCCTGTGTTTAGCTCCATACGTGAGTGGTCCCAGTGATTTCCTTCTGTTGTGAGGGCTTTAGGATTGGGGTTTTAAGTCTAGAAGGCCATGCTTTACTGGCTTGTCTTAAAAACAAGAGGCAAAAGGAATGGTACAGACCGCCCTTTGCATAGGTCAAAAGTGATTTGATCTGGTTTATGCAGTGTTAACTATTTTGTGTTGGGGTGGGTTGTGGTGTGGTTTGGTTTGTTTGTTTATTTGATTATTAATTTTTTTTAAATGTCTTATGAAGCTGACAATCCAGGAAGTGTAAGGTTAAAACACATTTAACATAAAGGCAAACCCAAATGAATTCATTGGTACTTTTAGTTGTGGAAGTCTGTGCTGCGTTGCTGTGGCAGTCAAAGCTATTGCCATTTATCATGATGGTTGAGTTAGTAAAGGTAGAACCTGCTCAGAAAAAAAGCCTGTATGTTTCCACTGGGATTTTGCTGCTTCTGTATCAGATATGAAGAAAGCATTGTTTATGTTAAAAGGGTAACATAAGTGTAGTGGAGAAGTAGCTTGCTACCCTAAAAAAGATGTTTTGCAACCTGGGTCATAGAAATTGTGCTTCTGAGATAATGTTTTTCTGTATCACATCCCTCAGCAGTACCAATAGGCATCAACTGACATGGCAGATTGCTGAAACAGATGTGGTGAAACAGACACATGGAATTAATAATATTTTATTATGTCATCCCAAGAAATGAGCAAACTGACGGCAAATGAGCAAAAATGGCTGAGTCAGAAACCAAGGAATTGGTCTCCTGAGTTCTTAATGTTTTTATATAAATCTCTCAAGTGAATTTTAACTGAAGCAATGGTTCCTTGAATGTGCTCGTGGTGCGGGAGCTAACATTTACTTGTCCATGCCCTGCAACAGAATGATTTTTCTGTATCTGAAAGGCTGCAACATCTTGTTATTGGAGTAGGACATCTGGTGCAGTGGTTGGTTTTAGAGCAGCCGGTGCTAAACCGGTAGGGTGAAAGTTGGTACGCTGATCACCTGCCCCATGAATCTTTCATGTAAATCAACAGCAATCTAGTTTAGGTTCAAAGCCAAGACTTCAATCCATCTGTCAAATTCACCTTATTATGCTTGCAAAACAAGACAATTGAGTGTTCTCAGCCTACCTGTAGTGTTAAGATGGTCTGGGATGGTGCATTTCCTTTTGTAAGGTAATTGGCCTCAAATGCTTTATTTAGTATTTTTTCAGTTGTATCATTCAGGTTCTTTCTTCCATTGCTAGTGCTGGGTGTTTCATAGCAGAAGACAGTAGCTCAGCTCTTTTAAAGCTTAGGAAGCTTGGAGTTCATTCCTTATTTTACTGCTAAGCTGAATCAGTTCAGTTCTTGTTCTTCACACATCTCCATTTATTTGTTGCCTCTGCCATGTTACAAGTCTTCACCAGGTTGTTTTTTTCATAGAGTTTTGAGCAACTTGACTCTAAACTCCAATATTAATGTATTTCTTACACTGTTATTTGGCAATTTCCCCTTTAGTGTGTAATGCAGATCATTAAGACATGTGCCATAGATGTTTTCATTTTGATTGTGTACAGTTACACTCCATTATGAGGTGGCTGCTTTTCTGCAAATAATGTTATTTCTTCTGCTTTTTGCAGGACCCTGCGGGAATATTTGAGCTGGTACAGGTTGTTGGAAATGGGACATATGGACAAGTCTATAAGGTTTGGATGCCTCTTTAATTTACGCTGCTGTTCTTGATAAGGCTGTTTTTCCTAAAGCAGAGATGAGCACCATTTAAGAAGATGGACAGTATTGTTCCAGTAGGAGCCTGTCTTTTCTGTGTAATGCAAAATGGTGTCACCTGCAAAGCTCTGTGCCCTGTCCTTCTGTCCTGTTTTCATGTCTCTCTGCCACCACAGGTCAGATAAGTATGTTGGCTATTGTGCTGACTTACCTCTGTCCTATTTTTTTGGCGCTGTGGTTATTTTCTCTTTTTCAAAATTATTTAATAAGTGGTTGGCACAAATTAGCATCAGTGATGGCTAAATTTGGCCAGGAGTGAGTGGAGAGCTCAGCTGAGACTAAACCAGCAGAAGTCTTCAAGACAGAGGTGCCAGTTAACCTTGTTCTGCAGGCAGGCTCTGAAGTTTTTGATTTCTGTTATTACCTTTGTCACTGTGATATCAAAGCAGAACTACCTGTCAGGAAACTACAGCAATTAAATGTTGTCTGCCATGACATGCTATGTACACTGTGCAATGCACACCTTTATTTATAAGAACTTGCCTAGAAAAGTTATTTTACTGTGAAGCCTTTCCTAAGCATGATCTAAGAAAAAATAGGTGTGATTAAGTAGGAAACTGAGTCTTTGTGGCTCCCATTTGGAGAAAGAAGACTGAGGAAGGAAAAGGCCATGCTGCTGAGCCCTTGGAGGTACATCAGTAGAGTAATGGTACTGGAGGAAGCTGTCTCATCTTGCTTTTCCCTCAGATCCCACTACTGACACATTCCTGCGTGATGAGTCTTTGTACTGGTGCAGGCTCTTTCTGCACTGGTCTCCTTTGCAGGAAGAATGCAGAGGGAAACCTTAATGTAGAAGTGCATCACTGTTCGTCTTTTTCCAGTTCCAGTGCATTGAATGCGTGTTATGTTTCGGTGTCCATCTTCTAGTGGCAGACCTGCTGTGACTGGGGTTTGGTTTCTCTTTGAAGCTATAGCTGCTCTTTCAAAGGTTATGGAAAACCCTCTACAGAAGTAGTTCTGGGGAGTTTCTGCTTTCCCATGTAACATTTTTTTTTCATTTATGTCAGAAGCGGGATCTTTCTCACGGAGCTCTTTGTCGCTGTGACCAAGTCTGTGTTGTTTCTGAGATTGTCATTGAGATACTGAGGTCACTACTAGTAAACTAAATATAGAGAATCAGGTTTACATGGACAGATTGGAAGCCAGGAGACAGTCAGGGGTGCTGTTGTCAGTGTAATCAGTTTTCTGCCTGTAAAAAGATCGTAAAGCTCCTAAATGGCTTCTGAAATAGTTGCCTTTCTTTTCATGCCTGGATTCATTTCCTATCGAGAGAGAAAATATTTCAAGCTAGTGATTACTTTTTTTTTTTAAGGATGTTGAGAGTGAATCAGTTGCTTAATCAAGGCAGAAACGAAGGAGCAGCGTAGTTTGCTTCTCTGCTGTGAAAGACAATGTTTTGAGCTGTTTTGTGGTTCACTAGATATTAGTTGCGAAAAAGTGTAAGAAATATTGACAAGACAATTAAAAATTATACCCAAAGGCTGCTTTCCACTGAGCATTCAAGAGACCAGAGTCTGATAGCTCTGAATAATGGGCGATTTGAATATCGGCTCATTCTGCACTTGGACAAGCTGCGACATCAGAGAGGTCCTGAGACACAGGGTCTTGCAAGGCTGAGGGCGCTGAGGGGACGCTTTGTGCACAAGCATCATGCGATGGAGAGATGATGGACTCTGTAACCCTGGCTCTGTGCAAGCACAACCATAATAAAGGCTTTGTTCATATTAATACATGTGACCACTGAATGTAGGGTTTTTTGCTGAGGCTCGCTTTGGGGATGGAGCTGCTCTTTGCAGGAGGATGACAGTGAGCTGTGCAGCTAAAGAAGACAGATGACAGCTGAGGTGAATGCAGTGTATGCTCCAAATGGCAGGCAGTCAGCTTGGTCTCCATTGTGAATGATTTTCACAGAGTCCAAAGCTCCAGTGCATTTGCAAATACCTCTGCAGAGGATGCTGAGCACCAGCTGAATGTACTCGGGTACGTTCTTGCCTTGCAACCAGAGCAAATATCTGTTTTCGCTGTGGGAGGGCAATTGCAATGGAAAAGCATCTTCTGACGTGACCCTAAAAAGTTAGGCTGTGGTATTCGCTTTTCCTTTTTCACTCCTGTGTAGTATGTTGTTCCTTCTGTACAGTGCTAGGACTGATGGAGTAAATTAGGGAATGCTCGAATTATTTTGTAGTTTCTCTGCTATAGGCTCATGATCATAAATATTTAAGTTATAAAGTAATCTCAGTTATCCACATAATATGTCATTAGAGCATGTTTTGTTCTTCAGAGGTGTCAGACTCTTCCATGCATTCAGAAACTACACATAGTAGTTTGCACATAATCAAAGCGCAGCTTATTTCAGGCTAAATAAACTATGTCCAAGATTACTGAATTGCTTGGTTGGCTGTGAAGATGATTCATAGGGCTATATGTTTTCATATATGCAGCTCCATAAAAATGAAAATAAAATTTAGAGGAGTCATCATTAGATTTGGGAAACAATGTTTAACAGATTTATTGAAGGCGAGTATTGTTCATACTGAATTATTCCACACCAGTTCCAGTTCAGTGTCTTTTTAAATTGAATGAAAAAGGTGTAAATTTTACCCATGGTAATGCTAGAGCTGTCTAGAAATGTTATAAAGGTGGGGTTTACATATAATAACTGACAAAAGGCTAGCAGATCTTTTGACAACTGCTGAAGTAGTAGGATGTAAAAATGTCCATAGTGGCAACTTCAGCCTTTTGGAAATATGAATTAGATATTATAAAACACCAGATGGTACCCAGAAGTGTTGAGGTTTAGACTTTGTTATCTCTTGAAATAACAGATTATTTGTTCAGTTAATTGCTGCCTTCCGGTAGCTGAAACCTGAAGAACAGCACTATGTAAGAGGTGATTTTGACTAATGTTATGGAAGGTGGTAGCAGATAGTCTTGTCTGAAGGCAGTTGGAAGTGCGTTTGCTGGTGGTTGGGAAAGTATGAGTATTTACTCTTTCTTGCCTTTGTTTCCTGAACTTTGAAGTGCTGAAGTCCAGATTGTGTCCAGTGTCTGCACTGTCTCCATTGAATGCATGTAGGAAAGAGAAGTTTCTGAACTTCCCGTGCACTGCTTTTTGCAAGGGCTATCCATCTTTCTGGAACCCCTTGAGGCCAGGGACCACAAAGACTGTGCTGGGGACATGACGTTGCTCTCTGATATATGAGGGCCAGGGTTTGGGGTTCTTTAGAGGTGCTGATCATAAGAACTTTAAGACAGGGCAAAGCAATGTTTTGCATCATGTAACTGTCAGTGTCATCTGGGAGAAAGTGAGATTGCTGAAGGTGTTACTTACAAGTTCTTTGGTGTTGCTTCCTCCCTTGGCTGCAGCCATGATGCCTTGTAGCCCCCTCTTGCAGGCTGCCTGAGGAAGCTTGATTTGGGTGTTGCTAGGGTTGGCAGTAAAACCGCAAAAAAGAATGTAGGAGATTTATAAACGACACCTTTTTTAATTTGCTAGTACTTGCTACATTACTGTGAAGAATGTGCTGTTAAAGGTGGTACCTTTGAAAGTACTGTGGAGCTCATGTCTGTGGCTATGTGGGCTGCTCTCAGGGTGCTTGATGCTGTGTCTTGCAGTGTAGCTATGACTGTTCAGACCTGACGGTGTTGTGATTTGAATAATTATCTCCAGCAGGTTAATCATATGGATGCCCTGCTTTCCTTCCACAGTTGAACTCCATTGCTATGATGAGTTGGATAGTGACCATGTGTCACCCTTGATGTAGAACAGCTGTATCTTGCTCTGTGCTTGTGCATTTAGTAACAACTAAAACGTCAGTTTGGGGGGCTATACGAAGTACTTTTTGCAAAGACTTCAGCTGTTTCATGTTCTTTGAGTGGTGTGTCTTCAGTAGGAGCCTGGTAATTTCCTAGCTTTTAATTTTCAGTGCAGGGTCATTTTTTGAATGGGTGAATGGGGAGAAATGGGGCACTTGAAGTGGGTGCCGTTTTTGGAGTGTTTGGGTCAGACAATTGCTCTTGAGCTTTGGAAGAGCCTGTGGAGCTTTGAGCTTGTAACTGCTTTGGTGTTTTAGTGATTAAGATAAAAAGGAATTGCTCCTAATCCTACTGATTCAGCTGTGCTCTGAGAGTCCTCATCCTTCTAAAAGTGTTTTCATGGGCCAGATGAGGTCATCAGCAGCATCTGTGCAATCTGCTTGTTTTGAGAGGCACCTGACTGAGGTTTTGACTGTCTTAATGATGTGGATTAGCGCTCTCTTGGGGCTGGCATTTTTGAGTGGCCTAAGGAATGAGAAGGTTGTGTCTTTGGCAAGTTCCAGCACTGACGTTTTTTGGAGCATGATCTTACAGACTGATGATAAACCTTGACAGATTTGCAGCTGCTGTGTGTGCAGAATGGTTGTATCCTTAACAGAGTCTGAGGGCACAAGAAACTTGAGAGATGCTCTGGTCTGGGACTGTGACAATCAAAAGGGGAGAAGTGGCTTCCTGGTAACACAGTTGATGAAAATGAAGCAGTGGTGTTGCTGCAGCTTGGCAGAGGGTGGAAGCAAGCCTGCCTTCCTGTAGTGGCTCTGCCCAGCTGGTATTTTTATTTCTATGTAGTCACGTAAGACTCTGGATGCAAAAAGGAAGCAGGTCTGAGTAGGGAAGTGTTTGGGGTTGTTTTGTTTTGCTTTTTAAATACAGCTGCTTCTTGGCACCGAACCATGCTTCAATTGTTGACGAGAGGTAGGAGTTACTCTACTGTTGCTACACAGTGTCAGGAGTGTACTGAAGCATAAATAAGACTTTTCAGTTTCTCTTAAACAGTTTGAAAGTCTGCTAAGCTATTAATAATTAATTTCTGTGAGCAGCTGGCTGAAGAAATTGAGACCAAGTTGGGAGGGGCAGGGGGAAGCCACATGGGGGTTTTCTT